CAAATTGTTACAGTTAGATAGGTAGGATATTATTACAATTTTTAAAACATATTTTGAACTATATATAAAGATCAGAAAAAGGATAAGTATCTATGTTTTAGCAAATCTCCTAAGTTCACACATTTTATGAATAAAATTTCTGAGATTGTCTTGCGTATCAAGAATGATGACATATTGTCTGAAGCACTGAGCACATTGAGCTCGTTACGAGAAATTTCTACTGAAGAGAAAATAAATCTGATTGATAAGACCCTAGTATGGATTTTATCAGAGTATCCTAATAGTAGAATAAACAAGTATCAAGAGCTTTATGAAAATGTGTTAGAATCTGTAATAAAAGATAAAGATCTAGTAAATAGACATGAGTATTACAGAACATATTTAAGGATATTGCACAATTCAAATAAACTTGCAAAGTTACTAACAGCTGCTCAAGACATGCATACTCAATTTCCACAGGATGCTTATCCTTTAGGTAAATATTTTTCAATTCTTATCAAAACTTGTATACTCTCATACAATGTAATTGTTTTTTTTTGCACAGAATGGCTATGCCGTATCTATTATGAAATGGAGATATTGTGTAAAACTAAACTTGAAATTGATATAACTCAGTTTTATGAGTCACTTTTAAAGATGAATGCAAATTCCGAGGCTGCATACATTGCAAAGACAGTGTATTTGAAAAAAAGAAATGAGTTAATTGACTCACGCGATTGTTTGAAGCAAGTAGTCTCATTAAATGCACAATCATTTTATGCTTGGTTAATGTTGAGCCAAATACATTCTGAACTATATTGCTGGGAAGAAACCGAGAATGCATCTAGACAAGCACTACGGTTGATAAAATCTGGTTTAAAGGACAAATTTCAACATGAAATCAAATTGAGATTACTTGAAGCACTAAGTAGAAGTAGTAACAAACATAAATTGATAGAAGCACGTCAGATGTGCCAAGAAGTGAGTATTTAATATAAATATTTTAAATTTCTTGATACTTATTGATATGTAATTAATATTGATATGATATTAAATAATTTGTTTCAGTTGTTAAGTATTGAGCCTTCCATACAATTACAAGTGATTCATGCACGCACAAATATATTATTGGACGAACCTGATGCTATTGCTATGTTAAGTAACTTAGAGTCTCAGGATGAAACTAAATTTCAAGTTTTTATTCTCAAAGCGTTGCATTTGCAAAAACATAAACAATACGAAGACGCTATTAATGCTCTTGAGTTAGCTTTAGAAAATTCTGAAGCTTGGTTACTATTTGGTAAAATATATTGGGATATGGGAGATTACAACCATAGTTTGATGGCATTTTTAAATGGTGTTCAAGCAGATCGCAATAATTGGGAATGTATGGTTTACTTAGGACATTATTATCATGAACATGGTAACGACATAGAACGTTCAAGAAGATGTTACCATGCTGCATTGCAAATCAATCCGAATTCTGAGGAAGCTGGTATTGGACTAAGCACAGCTTATCGTCTTCTCAAGAATACTGTAAGCATTATACGAACATATGTTTTTATTCAAAACATAAATTTATATGTGACAACTGGTCTGATCAATCCTAATATTATGTATTGTTTAGGATGCCAATATACAATTATTACAAAGGGTAACTATGCAAGGTACTGGGCCGAGATGGGCTTGGCTCCAATTGGGTTTGCATTACTTGGATCAAGGTGACGCGGCACAAGCTATCATAGCATTACAGCACGTGATCAGAGCTGATCCTAATGACAAGTATAACAAAGCTCGCTTTTATTTTATCGTCTTACAAAATGTTAAGATATTTCTTATCACATGTTATTACTTTGCACTTTGTACAGTCATAGTTGGGAATCTCTGGCAGATGCATATTTAGTACGTGGCGCTTATGCATCAGCACTGAAGTCATATCAACGCGCATTGCAACTTAGCCCAGAATCCTTGTATCCTATGATACAACTCGCGAATATCAAATTGGTAAGTAAAATTCATAAAAATATAATTACTATATATATATATATAGTATATATATATAGTATATATAGTATATATATATATATATAATAGAATTTTTTTTCTGTAGCTCATTAGTCAACATAAAGAAGCCAAGGAAGATTTCGAGAGTATATTACAGAACGATAAACAGCATATTCTTGCATTAAAAGGTCTAGCACAAGCGTGTTTAGGTTTAGCAAGGCAAAATATCGAGAAACAATTTCTATGTCGCGCAAGAGAAAATCTACAACAAGCAGCAGACAATCTGATAAATGCTATTATGATACGCAGTGATCTGCTTTGTAATTGGAAATTGCTTGGTGACGTGTGTTATAGGATAATCACTTTGCCAGAAAAATATTGCTATTTAAGGATTAAATCCGTTTTAATGAAGTGTGACAGTACTGAAGAATACGTAAATATTAAAGAAGACGAGATATTGACGTTATCAATAAGGTAAAAAGAAATTATTCTTAAATTACTTCATATAACTGTATTAAAAAACGAGATCAATTAAAATCAATATAAATTAAACTATTAAACGCAATTATTACTATTAATATACAAGAGTTTGCATAATATATCAAATTTTTGCAAATATTGTGTATGATTTCATTAGTACTTTGTATTATTTTATATTCCAGAATATAACTTCATCAATAAACTATTTTATTTTTAGATGTTTTTGTCGGGCACTGTCTATGCAAAATTCTGCATTATTATGGCATGATTTAACATGCTGTTATTTGATACAACTAAATCGCGCTTCCACAGTCAATAAGAATGATGTGGCGACTAAGTGCTATGCAACTGCAAAACATGCCGTTAAACTTAACCCACAATCGTGGCTACATTGGAATATTCTTGGTGTTATTTGTATGTCAGTATATATAAAAAATTATGCCTTGGCTCAACATTGTTTCATCATGGCAATTGATAGAGAATCGAACAATGCAATAGTTTGGAGCAATTTGGGAGTATTGTACTTGCATCTAGGTACCTTTTTTTTTTTGTTGAAGAGGAAATCTTCACAAACTTTCCGGCAGATCGAGCTGGAGTAGTTAACTACTTGTTACATTTTTATTAGAATTATATGTATTTTATAACAATCTTTTTTAATATATCTAGGAGATATCTTCAAAGCAAATGAAGCGTTTTCTCGATCACAACGTGCGGATCCCAGTTACGTAAATAGTTGGGTCGGACAGGGACTAATTGCAGAGAAAACTCTGAGGAAAGAAGCAATGGATCTATTCCGGCATTCGACGCAATTGGGTTATCACAATGAAGCAGCTTTGGGTTACGCTCATTGGGTACTTATTACTCTCCTGAATCCCACAATGAAGGAAGATTCATTATTAGTTTACGTTATCGAAAACATGCATGCGATACCTGCAGCAGCCGACAATCTTACTTGGTACACAGGTTAGCAGATAAAAACGTTATCAGTTTTAAACTGATACTCTTTGTACTTTTAAGGTAAATTTTGGCTTTTTTTTTAGAACGCGAACCATATGATGTGTATGCCTTCAATACACATGGTTTATTATTGGAACGACTAAAATTATACAATACAGCAGCTAAACAGTTTGCCACGGCTTTAAAACTGAGTGAAGATGAAGAAAGAGATATGATATCCATTAACTTAGCACGCGTTCTGATTCAAATTGGAAAATACGAAAAAGCGGTAGCATTATGTAAACAAGTAAAATGTGTAAATTTCAATTCTCAGTGCCATCTAGCATTATCTTTGTTCAAAGGTATGAAAATCTTGATTTTTTTTATCTTCATTTTATGGAAATATAAGCTCTTAAGACAGATTATTCATTACTTCCAACTTTCTGTAAGACTGGTATAAACTTTAATAAAAATAAAATTGTCATATGTATTTAGCCAAGCAATATGAAGATTCGTACAATACATATGAAGCAACTTTACATTGGCTAGCAGATACTGGTGCGGATAAAGCTAATGTTTTGTGTGCAATGGCTGCGATTGCTTACATATTCCAAGGAGCAGATGCTGTTAAGACTTTGCTATTCCAATGCATACAAATAGAACCGCCTACTGTAACTAGTCTCTTAGCGACCACTGCATTAGGAATTTTGCATAATGATGTCAATTTGACTTCTTTGGTATTGAACGAATTAAAATCATATGAAAATCATCACGAGTATGGTTATCACATTGTTATTCTGTCAGCATATTATCAAGTTGTTCAGGGAAATCTCATCCAAGCTATTCGAACACTTATTAAAGCTATTTTCAAACATCCTAGTGAGTAATTCATGTTATCATGTATTATCAAATGATGAGCTTGCAGGTTTATCCTTTATAATGAATATACAATATTATAGACGACGTTAGATATTGGGTGCGTCTTGTTCAAGTTTTACTGTTGGACAAAAATTTGGGTGGCTTTCATAAATATGCTTTAACGGCGTTGACATTAAGCAGAAATACAACTAATACCGATATCGTGCATGTTGCTTGCGCATCGGCGTACAGTCACTTTGGCACAAAAGAGGGTCTCAGACAAGCTCAGAAAAATGTATTTACACATCCCAGTAACGTTGAGAGCTGGGCTAATCTCGTTGCAGCTCTTTTAAACAGGTTGGTATTATAGAAATAATATATTAATCATGTGTTTTTTCAACTGCTAAGTTGTTATATACATATATATATAATTATTTTATTTATAGAAATATGGACAAAGACTGTACTCCAATGAATAGTCAGTGGGTACTATCACTAATATCGATAATAAAATCACAATTTCACACTTCTGAAAATATGTCACAATGGTTACTTCACAATGAGAAAGAACTAAGTACCCTTCAAGTTAACAAAGCTTTGCAGTTTAAATAAATTAAATTATTTTATTATGGTTTATTGTAAAGAAAACATGGTGTATTTTTTCCATTTTGTAAAAAAATTGTACAATAAATCTAAATTAACTGGAGTAATTTATTTTTTATTGAATTTTATTGTGTGAAAGATATCAATTTATAGAAAGGTGCGTTGATTGAAGATGTTAAACATTGTTTAATAAAAACAGGCGTTTTTGTTCATTATTAATCAAAACAAATTATATTTATTTATTTATTCATTGGTTTAATTTTAAATCTGTCTCGGATAGATTAATCATTGGGTTATATGAGACATATTCTACAACTTCTGTATGGATGTTTCCATACTTACAAAAGATCTCGCAATGCCGGTCTACTATTATTACGCATAAACGGTCGTGATCGCTGTGAAAAATTAGACTGCGACATATCAGATTGCATGTTAAGTCTTCTTCTGTCATATTTCGATTTATCAATTATTATTTCCGCACAGATATGATCTTCTAAAGTCTGTAAAAATATGATTCATTCAATCTTTTGTTCTAACAAATTTAACGATACTTAATTTGTCAAGCTAATTTCACATGCACCATAAATATTTTTTATAGAAATAATAATATAAAAACATAAAATAATATAAAATACATTTTCAGTATATAACTGGCATGATAGATTGATAATCAATGATTAATATAAGAATTCTCTGGGTATCAACTTACACTGGACAAGATATGCTCATCCTTTTTCAATAATGTAATCAACTTGTAAAGTTCGAAGTCCTCAGGGATATTCTCCTTTGCCATTGCCTCTTCCAATTTTTCAATCTGTTGATATAATAAAAATAAAATGTGTATATTTTTGTTATGTATGAACATAATAATTATTAAATAAGGATATATAAACAGGATACATACCACGTCTTTGAAATAACCTTCTTTTGGTGCATTGGGTCTATCATGTTCTAATGATGCTCTAAGTATAGGTACTATCTCAGTAAACCTCTTCAAATTTGTATAAGCTACAACTTTCAAACATCTTATCTGAATATATCGGGCCTCTCTTATAGTACTTAAAATTTCTATAGCTATATGAGGTGAATTCTGCTTAATGGCTAAAGCTGATAAAAATGTAGTAGCTCTGCGCATGATAATGTGTCCCTTTTCATCTAATTCTTTCCAGAGCTTCAAGCCGTACTCTAATGTTTCTGGTGTATTCTAAAAGTATTAAGATTAATTATACAGAGAACTTGCAAAAATTTAATCTTGTAATATAATTCTTGTATAAATGTTACCTCCTTATAACATGCAGCCATAACTAATATCAAAGAATTCCTAGGATATCCATTTATGTCTTTGTTCTTAATTATATCATACACATCTCTCATTTCCGTGTATTTTCCATGCTTATATAACAGAGATAAAAGAATCTGGTAACTGATTAATTGATCAAAGAAATTCTCAAACTTAGGGTCTTTGAAAGCAGTATAAGCAAGATCTGGTTCGTCCAAGTAATAAAAAGTACGCATCACTACAGGACCAAAGATAAAAGTACCAAATCTCATCTCCTTGGTTTGATTATTAAACTTTGTCAACATCTTGACAAGTAACTCAATATCTTCAGGTCTTTTTTGTGCTAAATGCAACATAGACTTTAGATCTTCTGTAAAGATCATACTCGAGTCTGTACTGCATACTTCTTCCATCTTGCTGCGGAATGTATTTTCCACATTTAAAAATTGATTGCGGAAGTTTAATCGTGCATTTTCATAGCCTTGCAAACCTAAGCTTTTGTCCGAATATAAGAATCTGCAAGCTGTAAAGTGAATATAATGTCAATATAGATACGTAACAAAACATTACATTAAACATGAAAAAATTATGAAATATTTTAATTACACATTTGTCTTGTTAAATATTATTCTATATAATACATTTGAAAATACTTTCTAAAATATGTATAAATTGAAGTATATTATAACTGCGTACACTATGTCCTAATAACAAGTACCATGGGTCATATTAAAGTCGCCGCGAGAAAGATTAATGTAAGGTTAAGTCGAATTACGTACAATTGAGGAAGCTATTCCTCAGAAAAGTATGGTTTGCCAGCCCCACATTAAACCTCATAAGACATCTCATCGTTGCTGCCATTATGCCTGTATACAAACGTCTTCAATCTTTCTCTCTAAACTTATATTTAAGTCTTCTGAAACGCAATTATCGGTGAGCACACGCTCCAACCGTACACGAAACGAAGGGAAGAAGAACGCTTGTGGACCGGAAGCCGGATAATCAGTAGTCGGTGATTCTCAACATGTAACTTCCGGTTCGATTACACTTTTCTAGAGTCACTAGTTTCCTAAGGTCTGTTCTTTATTGCTGAACTTTTGCACCAGTTCATCTTTTTTCCTTTTCTCTTCTTCTGGAGAGAAAAGGAAGAAAGACGAACTGGTGCAAAAGTTCAGCAATAAAGAACAGACCTCGAGGGCACATAGAAAAACGTAAGGGCTGCGCAGAATAAAAGGAACAGGGAACAGAGAACAGAGAATAAGAATTTCAACCTATCAGAAATCATGTACTATGGAATACACACTGGGTGCGTTCCACTAAACGCCCGCAAAGCTCGCGGCGCCCGCAAACCAGTTCCACATAACGACCGCGATCGTCGCGATCACGATCAAAACGTCATAGATGACGTCATTAATCACGACCGCATCGAGCTCACGACGCTCATGGTTCTTAAGGAGCCTACAGACCAGAGCGGCGCAGCGGTGAAGCGGCGAGCGATAGCCAATGAGAGCCATACTTTTAGGTAAAAGCATTGCTCTCATTGGCTATCGCTGGCCGCTTCACCGCTGCGTCGCTCTGGTCTGTAGGCTCCTTTAGGCTGCGTTCAGATTCTCCACCCGGGAGCACTCAGACACCCAGAAAGCGTTCAGATTCCTTTTGAGTGCCTTCACTGGGCACTTTTGATACTCACCAATTGTTTACACAAAGAATAGGGAGATTCTTTGTTGTTTACAATGCAAGTTAGATCACGATCAATCACGATACCTTGTGAAGAACGCATATAATCACGTTCTCATTCCGAAATGCCGAACAGACACAAGTATTAGACACTAGGCGTGAGGTCTGTTCGCGTTGCATTCACTCAGAGAAGCGATCCAAAACTTAAAGGTTAATTTAGAGCCCCAACACAAACTTTTGCATAACGCATAAGCATGTGCATAAGGAATTTCATTGGCCCATTTTCTTATGCATGAGTCAATGCACCAATCAAATTCTTTATGTATGTGGTTTATGCGTTATGCAAAAGTCTGTGCTCCCCGTCTTATACTAGCCGTAAACTGTTAACTTATGCCGTAATCTGTAAAAATTGACTAATCACAGTCGAATGAGAGGGGAATAATCGATTATAAATGATCAATTTTTACAGATTACAGCATAAGTTAACAGATTACGGCCAGTATAATCCAATCTTAACTGTAATGGTCAATTTTTACAGATTACAGCATAAGTTAACAGATTACGGCCAGTATAATCCAATCTTAACTGTCAAGTTGTCAACACTGCGTATCTTTTATCCTTGTTGTTCATTGAATGATAAATAAGGATAAAAGAACGAGAGCAGAACCAATAACGAGCATTCCGTGTTTCTAGAGAATCTCGTGATTGGTTCTACTCTCGTTCCGCGTTACACTATTCCGCTGCATGGGTTTGCACCCTTATGGAGCACAATTTTCGCGGAAAAGCGGAACGAGGAATTAAAACTATTAATTTTTAACGATATTTATTGATTAAAATACTTGTATTCAATGCAGAAACTGAAAAGATAAGCATATTAATAAAAATTGCAATGCATTAAGTGAATAAATTTTTTTAAAATTAATACAAAAGTGTTTGTCACTATACCATTCCGCTTTTCCGCGGAAATTATGTTCCATGTAATATTTTTCCGGTACCTTAAAAGTACCGTCCCATGGCACGGAAAACGGAATCGGAACACGGAATCGGAAAAGTGAAGTGGTAGGGGTAACCAATCAGCATCGTTCCGTTCCAATTTTAAGTAGCCTGGCTCCCCATGGGGCATATTTTTCGGAAACGGAAATTTTTCGTACTCTGTCGGTCGCTGGCGATCACTAGCAATTAGGTTAAGAAAAACCTGAAACCTACGGATGGAGGAAGAAGAAGAAGGTTTTGAGTACTGAAAAATTTAAGTAGAAAATGTCATGTGTAAGTATTGTAATTATATGTTTGCTAAGTTATTTTATATTAGATTATGGTGATGGCCTTGCATACATTTTTAACCTAACATTATTGTACAATATCCCAAATATCCATAATATTCAATAATATTATTATGTTAATATTATTATTAAGATAACTGTGGAGTACTTTGCGACTTTATTATATTTTTCATTAGAAGTAATCGTGCTGTTATCGCTTTCACCTTTTCCTTCAAAAATCATATAAAAAATATTTAATATATTATGGCTCAAGAATAATAAAACTAGTAATAATAATTAGCAAACATATAATTACAATACTTATACAGATGATATTCTCTACTTTTTCAGTACTCTTAACCTTCTTCTTCCTCCATCCGTAGGTTTCAAGTTATTATTCTTAACCTAATTTCTTGTGATCGCTAGCGATCGACAGAGTACGAAAAATTTCCGTTTCCGAAAATTATGCCCCATGGGGAGCCAGGCTACTTAAAATCG